AAAGGCAGGATGATACACGGGAGGAAGATCGGCAACAGCAGGTCAATAAATAGAAGAGGATCAAAATGTTCTTTTCCTGGCCACAAAATCGATTTCCCGAGCCCCCAACCCAGATCTCCTCCTTCCGGCATGCACTTTTTTCTTTTTTTTTGATTTTCGAAAATTTTAGTTACAAATCAATATTAGAAACACCACGTACATAAATTCATTAAGGTTACAATCGTATTTTCCTCAAATTAGTGGCAGTGAAATTAGCAAATGGCAAGTTAGAATGCTAAAGTCACAAATAATGGACATGCGAGCCATTTCCCCCAAAGAAACGCCATTTGCCACTTTTTTTTTAATTATTCTCTTCGATCTCGTTGCCACCATTTCCTCTGTTTCTCACCGGGAAAAAAAAAGTCTTCTCTTCTAAGTCCATCAGAGAGAGATTATGTCTCCGCCGGATGTTCAATTAACCGATTGCCATCTCAACCAGTCAACGACCGGTACAAATCTCTGGTCAACCGACGACGATGCGTCGGTGATGGAAGCTTTCATCGGCTCCGAGCACTCTTCCCTTTGGCCTCTACCTCCTACTCTTCCTCCTCCTCCTCCATCGCAATCACAGGCCGGCGAAGATACTCTCCAGCAACGACTCCAAGCTTTAATCGAAGGAGCAAGAGAAAGCTGGACTTACGCCGTGTTCTGGCAATTATCTTACGATTTCGCCGGAGAAGACGACGGAGGAGGAGGAGGAGGAAGCATCAACACTCCGTTGCTAGGTTGGAGTGATGGTTATTACAAAGGAGAAGAAGAGAAGAAATCGAGGAAGAAGAAACCGAATCCAGCTAGTGCAGCTGACCAAGAGCATCGGAAGAGAGTGATTCAAGAGCTAAACTCTTTGATTTCCGGCGGAGGAGGAGGAGGAACAGTTAACGGTGGTGGAAACTCCGACGAAGCAGGAGACGAGGAAGTCACAGATACCGAATGGTTCTTCTTGGTTTCGATGACACAGAGCTTCATCAATGGCTCTGGTTTGCCTGGTCAAGCTTTCTCGGATTCGCAGACGATTTGGCTCTCTGGGTCAAACGCGTTGGCTGGATCGAGCTGCGAGAGAGCTCGTCAAGGTCAGATTTACGGGTTAGAGACGATGGTTTGTATACCGGCGGAAAACGGCGTCGTCGAGCTTGGTTCGTCGGAGATTATACACCAAAGCTCAGATCTGATTGGTAAAGTCAGAAGCTTTTTCAATTTCAACAATGGTGGAGGAGGCGAATCTGGTTCTTGGGCGTTTAATCTGACTCCAGATCAAGGAGAGAATGATCCGGCTATGTGGATTAGCGAACCCAATGTCGCCGGAATCGAATCGGGTCTTGTAGCTCCGGCGATGAACACCGGTAATAACTCGACTTCGAACTCAGATTCTCACCCAATTTCGAAGCTTTGTAATGGAAGCTCCGTGGAAAACCCCAAAATCTCGAGCTCTGGGTTTAACAATCATCCGAAATCCAGCGAGATCGTGAGTTTCAAGAACGGAATTGAGAACGGATTCTCCGGTCAAAGCCGGTTTGTGGAAGAAGACAGCAACAAGAAGAGATGTTTGGTTTCAGACAACGAAGAAGGGATGCTTTCTTTCACCTCTGTTCTTCCACGGCCTACGAAATCCGGCGACTCGAATCACTCGGATCTCGACGCTTCGGTTGTTAAAGAAGCAGAAAGCAACAGAACCGTCGTTGAACCGGAGAAAAAACCGAGAAAACGAGGGAGAAAACCGGCGAACGGGAGAGAAGAGCCGTTGAATCATGTAGAGGCAGAGAGGCAGAGAAGAGAGAAGCTGAATCAGAGATTCTACTCTTTAAGAGCTGTGGTTCCAAATGTATCTAAGATGGACAAAGCTTCTCTCTTAGGAGACGCCATTTCGTATATCAACGAGCTTAAATCTAAGCTGCAAAAGGTTGAATCTGATAAAGAAGAGCTGCAGAAGCAGATTGATGTGATGAGCAATGAGAATGGGAAATGCTCGGGTGGAGATAGAAAGTATTTGAATCAAGATTCCGGTGTGTCTATAGAGATGGAGATTGATGTGAAGATCATAGGATGGGATGCGATGATAAGGATACAATGTAGTAAGAGGAATCATCCTGGTGCTAAGTTCATGGAAGCACTCAAGGACTTGGATTTGGAAGTGAATCACGCGAGTTTATCAGTTGTGAATGATTTCATGATCCAACAAGCGACTGTGAAAATGGGGAATCAGTTTTTCACTCAGGATCAGCTCAAGGCTTCTCTAATGGAGAAGGTCGGAGAATGCCCATGAAGACAAAAGTTAGCATCTTGTAGGGTTTAATAAACCGGAGACATACTGCTAAAATATAGTATAAACCGGTAAAATATATTGAGTATTGTCACAAGTTTTCTCTTGTGATTGTAGTGTAAACTGTATTGTGTAACTGTGGTTTGCAGCAACCACTTTGTTGTTATTGATGCTTGTTAGAGAGGAGAAGTTTCTTAGTGTAGCTATAGCTAGTTTGGGTTTATGGTGTCATGAGATTAATGTTTTGATGTATGTATTCGCGTATGTACATAGTATGAATGCATGGAAATAAGGCTTTTGTTAGAAATGAATCAAAAATGGGATTTCAAGTTTTGAGTTTTCACTTTCAAGTGAGTTCTTGTTGTGGTTCTGTGAATTTAATTAGTGGAATCACAGCCACATAAGGACAATTCTTTGTGAAGTTGGCATCAAAAGAGGCATCTAGTTTGTTATGAAAGAATATACACTTTCTTAATAGTAATTCTTTTACATCAACCACATCTATTTAGATTCCAAATGGTGGGCCTTTCATTGGGACCTAAAATTAATGTGGATGTATAATGTTGAAAACATAGAGACAAAGACGTTTAAATGATTATGCTAGGAAATACTTAATTATGAACGAATTAACAAAAAGTAAAAGTTTCTTAAAGAACGAGTGGCACAAAAGAGTATTCTTTTCATATCTCTACTTCACTAATTTTATTTTCATTCATTCATCTTCCACTGATACCTGTTGTTGTGCTTACTCTTTAAACCCTGAGAGTAGATTTGTGGTTTGCAACAGTTTTGAAAATATTACAATATTTAACCAAATGGATTCTTAACCTTATCTAACCTACCCAATATAAGACAGTATGTTTTTGTTGTTAGAACATTTTTCGAATATCAACATAAAGTCCATAATAGATAGCAAAGAGAACATTGAGGTTTTTGTTTATATAGGCTCTTGTACCAAACATTGGAGTCACTCTGTCGCATTTTATGCAAGTTTTGCAATGGTTAAATGGATTTCTTGATCTTGACCGATAAATATTTCATAACATCAGGTCCAATATGTGAATCAAAATCCAAGAAAGTGGGAAATATAAATAAGAGGTCTGAAATGGGATTAGGAGAGGAAAATGGACAGGCTTATCTTTGGAAGGATACTGAAGGAAAAGTTGAATCATACAAAAAAAAGTGGAAACATGTGTGGCGATTATTAAAGAGATTTATCTGGAGAATGTATTATTGGTTTTGCATTCTTTTTTAGCAATCAATAATTCCTCGAAAGACGTGTGTGTGGGAGTGAGTGAGGGAGAGAGACAGAGAACGTGCAATGGAGAAGAAGAAAGCATGCGCAACAAAAAGCATCTGGTCTTTTTTTGGGACATTACTGCCAAAATAAAATAGTCAGGACCGAAGGGGACAGATTATTGTTTGTACGCTACTGTATAGTCTGGATAGTCACTCCAAATATATAAAATTAGGTCTCTTTCTAGATCTAAATTTATGAGGTTGTAGATGATTTATGAGGAGGTTGTGTAAAAATTAAAAACATACAAGATCCAGGTAAAATCTATAGTATGGTTTGAAGATTTAGAGAGCTTTTGTAGATGATTTATGAGGTTGTATTTGTAACAAAATTGCTTGTTGTTGGGCTTTCTTGATTTGGACTAAATTGATACACCTTATACGGCACTTACTATAAATAACAAATCATACACTCGACAGTCGTGTCCTGCTTAATTTTACGGACACATTGTAATGGCTTTTGTATGATTATGTTATGAAGTTCTCAAGACGATCGAATATGCCTTGGTTCTCCAACTTTTCTACCGAATTAAAACATTTTAAGTATTATTTTTCCGATATTGTTGCATGGTTGTCTGTGTAAAATTGTAAAATATACTTTTTCTTTCCTTTTTGATGCCAAAAAGTGTTTGCAGATTTGGCCTATTTTGCGTTCAGGCCCCATCCAGCGGCTTCACTTTTGCATTTATTTTTTTTGTTAATATGTAGAAGTTTATCATATCGTTCAGTCAACTTTTTGAATATTTTAGTTTTCTTAACTATTTTAACAAAAAGAAAAATATGTAATTTTCGTTTTTCTTAAAACCCAAAAAAGTAGAAATAAATACTTAACAATCAAGAGATATAATCGGGTTAGAATTATACATAATTCCCCATGGGTTCTATAGCTTATTTGGAAAACTGGAAATGAAAATTGTTTCACATTAAATCAACAAACAAAGCAGCTCATGCATGGCCATGGGCTGAATATTTAGTGTGGGAAGAGATTCGTTCTCGAACGTTAAAATTAACTGGCCTTGTTTCTTCGAAGTTACGAAACGGACCGAAGCATATATTGTTCGGAACTAAGATAGATCTTTGAATCCCAAAGCGTAGAAACGGACCAACTTGGGTTGCAGAGTCAAAGATGAAATCTAATTGGAAAGTCATGTCGTGCCTTCAAGGTCAAAAGTTGGTTTGCTCTCTCGGTTCTTCGAAATAGATTGTTTGAACTTGGTCAAAGTGACTTCCTCCCCTTGAAATGGAGCCGGATATCCAAACTTTTCACAGTATTCGGATCCGGATTCACCAGATAATGATCCGGATTCACCAGATAATCAGTTTTATTATCCGGATCCGGATCCGAAAACTCCGGATATCCCGTTTCGTTAATTTAAAAGAAATCTTTAATTTTTAAAAATTATAATAAAATAACATAGATAAGTAAAATGTATCATCGTAGCAAATTACAAATAGTAATAGAGAAGTTAATTTATCCTCATGTCCATATGCTATCCATTTGTATGTTCTTATCTCATAATCTAAATAGAAAATTATCACACAATATGAATTTTAATCATATGTAAAAGAAATAAACCAAAAACAATTCTAAAGTTAATTTTTAAAAATGAATAAATATTATTAAAAATAAATAAATATTTAACAAACGGATAACAGATATCCAGTTTCAAAATTTTCTACTATCCGGATCCGTATCCGAAATAAACGAATACTTAATTTCACTATCCGGATCCAGATCCGAACTACACGAATATTCAGTTTTTATGGATCGGAGAGGAGCGGATACCGGATAATAATTCCAGCCCTACTTGGAAGTGGCATTTGTTCAGCATTTTTGTAGGTTTTTATATTATTATTATATATATATATAATTATTTTTAAGTTGCATTTTTTATATTAGAGCATGTGAAGTAGTGAACCCCCTTATGGGGTTCATCAGATTAAATAAATAATTTTTTTTTTGTTTTTGTGATGAATTCTGGTTAAGTTTGAGGTTCCAGTAGTGAACACGTTAATGGGGTTCATCCGGAATTTTATATTTAATTTTTTTTTTTTGAAATTTTTTTGTAATTAAAATAAAAATCACTTATTAAAAAAAGAATACAATATATTGCAAACTATAGAAAAATACAATTTATTAAGAAAAAAATACAAACACACAATTTTTAAAATATAGAAATACTTAAACATTTGTTACACAGATTTTTGATTTTCGATTCAATTTTAGTGATGAGAGGTGTGTATGACTCACTTTAAAACACAGTTACTTATCATGAACGGCTTAAGCATAATTCACAAAATACATTAAATTGTTTTCAAGGGTTTAAGCGTGTTCCAAAGTAGTGAATAACAAAAGAACATAAAAGATAAAGATAGATGAACTAAACCCTAAGCCCTAGCGTGCTCCAACGTCCATTCCCGAGCTCTTCCATCAAACCCCGACTTGTCTTCCTTGTACATCTTCGCTTTCGCTTCATCGTAGTACTCCCCCTCACCCAATTCTGGGTTGCTCAGCATCTCATGAATTTTTGTGAGAATCTTATGGATGGTGTTTATGGGCGAGAAGTAGTCAGTACTGAGCATCCGTAGGAAGATATCTCCACGATCTCCTACGTTGGGGTGGAAGACCTTTGTTCTGAAGAAGACTTTGGGTGGCTTGAACGGATATTGGGGAGGAAAGTGCATGTCAATTAGGAAGACGCCGTTCTCGTAAGGCGATCCTGCTGGTCCAAAAAGCTGAGCCTTCCAATAACTGATATCTCCATCAACCGGGCCTAATCAAATGTGTCAAAGAAAAAAAAATTAGTAGATTACAAAGTCTAAACTCGGAAACAACATATTTAAGCATAATACTACAACAAAATATCTGTACTGTATAGCGGGCTCTTAACCCGCTCAATTTCCTTTTTCTGAATCATGAGGGATTTCTCCCAATACAGGACTGAATTGCGTTGCATCTTCTGCCCATAACAGAAGGGGATCAGAACAGTACATATATGTAAGGGAATTAAGTTCATCATCAATAATCAGAACATGTTACTATACTAAACCCGATCATGTAAACAACAACAACAATTCAGTTAATAATCGATAATGGCAAACCCAAGATTGTAATAGCATTTATATCAAACAGAAACGTTTAAAAAAAGATTCATATGAACCCGATAAAAGAAAATATGCTTCGACAAGGCCATATGGACAAACACTAATCGTAAACACATTATCAGCTTGTTAATGCATTGTAACATACACACGACTAATGCATATAGAAGAACTAAACTCCAATTTGAATCCCAAAGAAAAGCCCCAATTTATTTCTCTACATTGAAAAAACCTTAATTTCATCGAACAAAAATTCACCAAATCAACAGTATAACATGAATTCGTATTCGAAAGCAAATGAAAAACGGTTTAATTTCATTGTATTACACCCCAATTACAACCCCAAATGAAAGCCCCAAAATTTTCCCCTTTTCATATGAACCTTAATTTCACCGATTTCAATTTCCTTTCAAATCTCCCAAAATATTAACTTCAATTCGTTTTCGTGTTTCAATGAGGTGAAATGACTCGAAATCGACACTAATAACCCAACTTAAACCACCGATTACAGACTTCAAATTTTTCGCCATGAAATCCAAAACCTTAATTTCCCTATAACGAATGAAATCGGGCAAAAGGAAGAGAAGAAACGCTTACCTCGGCAATAATCACGGAAGCCCGACCCTCGGTTGTCCACTACACCAGCAAAAGTCGACGGTTTCGACGGATTTGACGGAGGCGACGAGAATCGCCGTAGGAGAGGAAGAGAAAAAATAAAAAAACACGCGAAGGAGAAATGAATTTCTAGGGAAAAATTTTTTCCCTTCCCCAAAAATGACGCGAAAAATCATCCTCTCACGCTTCGCCACGTGTCTGGGATACGGGTTCATCAACCTTTTCCGGACGGACCGATCCGTCGATTTTAGACCTTTTTTCTTTTTTTTAAGTCTATTTCGCCTATGAACTCGAGCCAAATCCGTCCAACCGACCACTGTTGGACCTGTTTTAGTTTCGTGCTTTTAATAGTTTGACAATTGTTTGGTTCACAATGGTACTATGGTTGAGATTTAATTTCTATGTTGTAGGACCACCTCTTCCGGCTTGGCTCCATTGGAAAGAATCAAAACCTCCATCAGGGCCTAAATATTGTTGATTGAACCCAAACATTATAGAGTATATGTAAGCTAAAAAAAAAGTTCTATAGACATGTATGGTAGGCTCATATATATGTATAGGATGTTTTCCCAACCACGTCGGGACTTAGTTAGTATACACACACATTCAGATATAAATTTGTAAAGTTAACTCCGTTAAACTTACACAAAACATGTTTTTTGAAAACTTGATAAGTGGATGTTATCTTTATGACTATATTGTTATTTGTATAATTATTTTATAGTATATCTATCTTTCTTCATTTTTGGTTATTGATGGAATTGATATCGTTTTTAATAAGTATATTTGACTATATGTCAGAACTGTTTGGTTTATGTTTTTTTCTTATCAAAGAACATTCATATTCTGGTGTTAAATACATTCAGTTGTCTACAAAAAAAAACATATAGTCAAAACTGTTTGGTTTATGTTTTTTTTTCTTATCAAAGAACATTCATATTCTGGTGTTAAATACATTCAGTTGTCGACAAAAAAAAAACATTCTGGTTATATTTAATGATAAATCTAAGAAAGAATTAATGTAGTAACAAATATTCGGGTTTTCTAATTTTCATATGAATATTTCAAAACAACAGATTATTCATATAATAAGGTTTTATTGGATTAAAAATATCAATTATATTTCTTTATATTTCCTTATAGCAGATATCAAGATAAGATATACTTCTTCCAAATTTTTCAAATTGATTTTAATTTATGATAATGGAGAGTTTTTATCGAAATTCAAACTACTCTCCAAAATATACCAAAAAAAAAAAACTAAACTGAATATATTTACCTAGTTGTGTATAAAGATCAACATATTATTAAAATCTTAAATCAAGCATCAGAAATAGATTTGATTGACTAAAACTTATTTGGACCCAAAAAATAAAGAGTTCAAATTAAGTTTGGAATAAGACTACACTAAATACTTTCATCATTGGCTTGAGAGCGTATGCATCTCGATAGATAATCTCTTAATAACGAAAAAACATTGATAACACCATAAAATTAAAATCACCAACAAAAACTGATTTGAAACTCAATAGTGAAGTCGGTGAGTTAAAATTGCAACGTATAGTTTGATTTAAGAATACAGAGATATCTTCACCACTAAAGAAATGAAAGAAAGATTTGACGTTAGCGATGATAATCATTAAAGTAGGTGAGTTGCTAAAACATATCGATCTTCTTATTGGCTCACCATCATCAACTTCAAGATCAAGTACATGCAATATTTTTCTTTCTTTATTTTCCTTGTCTCCTTCGTTTTAACTTTTTGCGAAACGTATTAAATTTTGTCTTCTTCCTATTAACATTTTTCAATAAATTTTGATTTCGGCGTTTAATAACCAAGTTGGCAACTTGCAAAAACTAACCAAGTTGGCAACTTGCAACAGCATCACCTTTGCCTTAATTAGAAGATATCCATTTTCAAAGTATGCAAATAGAAAAAAAAAAAAAATTACAAAAAGGTTCCTTCCTCACTCTCTGTCTCGATCCAATCGAATTTGAGAATATATATATATATATAGGTGAATAATAAAATAACAAAAAGTTAAAAATTGCCGCCTCATAATGGATCGCCCACAACAAATTCTCTAATAAAATAAAACAAATGTGAAAAATATATTCAAGTGGGACCCAAGCTGACACCATAGTCAGTGGTGGGCTGAATATAACTAGTACTAGGCTTGGGCACGGAACGAATACTTGCCATTTTTTGTATATTTGATACTTGACTTGCCCCGTTCAAGTATCAAGATATTTATACTTGTACTTGACTTGTTAATATCAAATACTTGCAATTTCAAGTACTTACCAAATTTTTCATTACTTGCAAGTTACTTGGCTTGTCCCGTTACTTGTAAAAGTACAAATAGAATACTAAAAAAACTAAAATTTCGGACCATATTTAATTAAAACCTATGATAATATTTAATATTTTGACTTTAAGGTTTTTGGAAAATTTTAGATATTGAAGTCTGGCAACTTATTTATCTTTTGATAAGCAGACTTTTCTTTCCTTTTTTATGTTGTAATCGATGTGGAACAAAATTTAAAAAAAAATCAGAAATTTGAAACGAGTAACGGGTCAATAAGACCAAGTAGTAACTTTTTTTTTAATACTTGATATTTGCCTTATACTTGCAAGTAATTTTCTTAAAATACTTGATACACGACTTAATCAAAACAAATACTTAGTTTTACAGGACAAGTACGGATCAAGTAACGAGTACGGGACGAGTACCAAATAATTGTGCCCAGCCCTAACTAGTACTACGCCTAAAACGGCAGGCATTGTTTGATCCTTTCTTGAAAATGGAATTTAAACCACTTCCACATATGGGTTTTTGTTCGTGTTTTCATCTCTTCCTCTTAGATTCCTTTCCTAATTTGTTTTTTTTTCTGTAGAAGTAAATCTGTTTTCATCATTTTATAACTCTTTTTTTTTTTCCAGGTTAGCAATTTAAGAACATCATAATCACACATTTGTTTGTTTTGTTTTGGCATCAACTCCCACAATATTGCGGATTGGTATGTAAATTGTGTTTTGTTCATTGTAAATAGTCATGTGGATGGAGAAATCAATTTCTACAATGCAATTATGCAATAATTGTTAAGTTGTCGAATTATAAAAACCCTGAATTTTCTTAACTAAGATTATAATTTCATATGAATCATTCGCTAAATTTAACAATAGATTAACCAGTTCTTTAACTACGTTTAACGGAACCTTATTTCACCAGAGTTGATCTTCTGAAACAAAATAAATACTAGACAAAAATAAATAAGATAAATTACCATATACTAAATGATCATTACTAAACTAATATTTGTCCAGTTTTATAGTAAATGCCGTTCTTTTGACATTTTTTTAACATGACTAGAATTTGTATTAGTTGCTGCTATTGTCATAACTCATTTTCAAATTCAAGAGTGAGTTTTAGACGACAAAAAAAAGAAAGAAGAAAAAACAGTTCTACCAAAAAAAATTTAAAAGAAGTTGATTTTTAGTATTTTGTTCTTTTTTCAATTTATATTGTTTATTAGTTTTGATTTGATAAATATATAAAAAATCTATACCAAATTTTGAAATTAAAATACAATATTTCTTTTTAAAATAGAAAGACACTGCTAAAATGACATTTAATTTCAAATCAAATAAAGTATCCAATAACAGCAAAATACACGTGAAAAAGATCAACCTTTTACCAAAAAAGGAAATACACGTGAAAAATCCTATCACGATACTTTAAGTCATCAACCAAAAAAAAAAAAGTAACACGAGAATCCATTTTTATGATAAATCTACCTTTCTAGTATGGTTTTTATGACAGTGTTGCGTAGACGAAAATTTTGACCACTCTCACAAGAACATTACCTACTAAAAAAGGAAGGATTCCTACTTATCCACAACGTTAAATGACCGAAATAACCTTACAACTTAATTGAAATATTTTAGCGACACTTTCAACATAGGCAAAAGGTTAAATCTGAAGGTTAAATTATAAAAAAAGACAAAAGAGTAGTAGAAAATCTGATAATGAAGCAACGTAAAATAACATTTCCCGTTAAAAAAAAAAAAACAAATTCATTTCCCATTTTTTTTTCCATATATGTAAAATCATTTCTTTTTAAAAAAGTTTCTATTTTCTTCTTTTCAGGTCACCTGAGAACCGCCGCTTCCGTCGCCGCCGGCGTTACGAGCCATAGCTTCGGTGACAGTCGCGAGTTTCTGCAGATTAAGTTTAACGACGGTATCAGCGAACATACGCGTATCGTCCTCCGAGTTTCCCTCCGGCATATCCACGACGTACGACTCGAGAACCACCGTCCAGATCCGTTTCTCCTTCTCGAATCTGTGCACAGTCGTCACCGATTTGTAGTTCGTGAGCCTGTGCTCGCCTCCGATGATGCTGAATCCGGTGACTCTCCTCTCGTCGTCGAGGACGTCGAGCCTCTCCGTCGACGTGTTCGCCGGCAAACCGCTGATCACGATCACGTCGCGCGTGCATCCGACGCGCATCTCGAAGCCTTCGTCGACGGAGCAGCTCTTGATGAAGTGTTTGTAGGTCTGTGGCCTGTCGAATCGCCGGACGACGGACCAGACGATCTCCGGCGGCGCGTGGATCGCTGCGGCGTGGAGTGAGGAGCAGCTTCCTGGACCGAGTTGGTATGTGTGGAACTCGGCGATGGATTGCGATAGCTCGGATCGTTCTTCCTGAGTTAACTCGGAAGGCATGGTGATTTGATTTTTTTTTTTGTTCGTGGAATGATTTTTTTGGAGTTTGGGAGGGTTTTTGTGTGATTTATCCAATTGGGTCTCGATTCATCATTGACGACGATGACGATCTCAAAATTCTCTCTCTCTCCTTATTTATTGTTGAGGCAGAGAGAGAGATTGGATTTGAGGGGAAGACGAAGGGTAAAAGTGGAAATATGTAGAGATAAAATGGGCAAATAAGGAAACTTACGTGAGAGTGGAAGGGTGCACTACAAAAATGGAATCTTTTTTTTTTTCAGTTGACGTGGAGTTTTAAAACTTACTTCAATTACTTCTTATTCGAATTTGGAATTAAGAGATGATCAAGCGGCCATTTAAAGTTGTTTATATAAATCTAACGAAGACAAGATAAAATATCATTAGTTTCATATTTTTCCTCCTCTTTTAGTAGTTGTAGGTTATATTTTGTGTGTGCAACAGTAGTACTAGTTAAACTTATCAATTTCTCTCATACAGGAAATATTAAATTAAAGGTAACAAAGGTGTTGAGTTTTGTGTTTTGTATTTTCAATAATCTAGGAGTTTGAAGGCGTTGATATATACAAGCAAACGTAATTTGGATAACTAGATTGCATTTGAATTATATCTAAAATTAATTGCAAAACTATAAATAGCTTCAACTATATGATAATTATGTCATTTTAACATAAAAGCACAAGTTTTTTTTCATACTGAAATGGATATATTATTAATTATGTTCTAGTAGAAATTGATTTACATAGAGTTGGTTGATTTGAAAATTAGGAAAATATTAAATCTGTTAGGGAGTTTGTGTATTAATCTTAGATTGTATAGAATTGGAAACAAGTATGCAAAAATCCATAACTCTTAAAGCGGGTAAATTTTTGGTCATGTGATGCTAATGCAGCGGCTTCTTGGGTGTGGAAGTTCATGATTCAGCTTCGCCCCCTGGCCAAGCAGTTCTTGCGTTGTGAGATCGGCGATGGGAGCCAGTGCTCTTTTTGGTTTGACAACTGGTGCTCGTTGGGTCCGCTTATTGATCACATGGGTCATGATGGTCCCCGCAGGATGGGTATTCCTCTGCAGAGCAAGGTTATTGATGCCTGTCACAGTGGAAGCTGGAAGCTCCCGGGGCCTATAGATCGAGACTTCCATCTCTTGTTTCTGTGCGTCAAACGCTGATGGCTACTCTTACTCCGAGTATCTTAGGTGGGCCGGATGTTTACTTTTGGGAGACACCGAATGGATTGAGAAGCTCCTTCTCATCTTCGAAAACTTGGGAAGCTATCAGACCTTCGGGTGATGCTGTTGGATGGGATAAGCTTGTTTGGTTTAAGGGACATGTCTCCAAACATGCCTTCACCTTCTGGACTGCTCAGAGGAATCGATTGCCGGTTAAAGCCAGGCTTGTAAGATGGGGTGTGAACCCAAATGATCTTGGCTGCTCGTGACCATCTTTTGTTGAATTGTGATTTCAGTTCTCAAGTTTGGAGGAGGGTTATGCAAAAGTTGGGCCAACCCTTTTTCTCTTTCGTGGATTGGTCCCATTTCATCTCTTGGCTGTCTCGCCGAGCTGCTTCGGCTCCTAAGCTCCTTCGTCGCCTTGTTTCACAGGTCGCCGTGTATTCTATCTGGCATGAGCGTAACGTCAGACTTCACGCTGGTATTGTTTCTACCCAGTGCCGTGCTTAGAGTATTAGAGGCCTAAGGCAAATGACAAGGAAAAATTTCCATTTTGCTCTAATTATTTCTAAAAAAATATAAGTTATAAATCAGATTTAAATATTATTTTATAAGATATTATAAAGTACTAATGCTTTTTATTAATTTATAATAAATTTTCAACCACAAAAAATAACACAAAAATATATCTTAACAAATATATTAATTTTTTTTTTTTTGGACACCAACCAATATACTAAATAAAAATACAAAAATTAGGGGCCCTAAAACTTGCTTAATATTAAGGGGGCCTAAGGCAAATGCCTTATTTTTTGTTCATTAAGCACGGCTCTGCTTCTACCCCTGTCTCGCTGATGAAGCTCATTGATCGACAGGTCAGGGATATCTTGTTCGTTCGCAACAGGAAAAAACCGACTTCTTTGTTATTTCTTTGGTTTACTTATAATTAGTTTATGTATGTATTATGCTAATTTTCCTCTATATTTTGGGTTTTTTACTTTTTTTTGGGTCCAACATGTATTTTCTGCTGCGCCAGCATTGTAACGTTTCGGTTTTGATATAAATTTACATTTTATCAAAAAAAAAAAATCCATAACTCAGTTTTATGCAAAAATACTACATGTCACCAATCAAAGCCTAAAAAACATTAGAAAACAGATACGTAAACTTATAATCTATAATAAAAAAAAAGAAACATCAAAATCATATTATTAAAAACAAAAATGTTTTAAATAATCGACTAACTTGATCAAAACAATCCTTATGGGAGGAGAGTACTACTACTTCAAAGAAGAAAGGCGTTCTTTGAAGTTCACTTGGGAAGAGCTTCGTCCGCGAGCTCCTACACAGTCATGGGCTTTTTTTTTTTGGTTTAAAGGTGCTATCCCTCGCCACGTGTTTACTATATGGGTTGCACTGCTGTATGGGCTTCCAACAAGAGCACAGCTTGTCAAATGGGGTCTCGGAATATCTTCCTCGTGTTGCTTTTGCAACCGCTTTGAGGAGAACCGCGACTAATGGCAGAGGCAGCTAATAAGGAGAGGGGTTATGTGAAATTTAAATTTTTTTAATTATATATTTGTATTTTTTGAAAGAAAATAGGTGAAATATTAAAAATTTAGTTTAACGATCCCTATAAAATTTGCTCAAATACATCGTAAATTAAAGCTAAAGCTGATCTCTGTAAAATTTTTGGTTAGCTCCGCCACTGACCGCAACCATCACAGTGAAGTGAGTGAGCAGCTGTGGGATACAATCCCTTTGCTTTTCTCAACTGGAATGCTTTTTTCTGCTGGCTTGGCATCAAAGATAATACCTCCTCTCGCACGCTCAGGTTTCCCATGTGATAATTTACTCTATCTGGCTTAAAAGGACAACAGACTCTTCAACAATGTCTTTTCTACTCACCAAATAATCTTCAAACAAATTGATCGTCTTGTCTGTGACACTATTTTAGCCAAGAAGATGAGGAATGATTTCACTGGCCTGGCTAACTCACGAGTAGTTCAAGTTATATATATTCCGTCCGATATTCGACTCTAATCTAGGATTTCTCTGGTTTTTATTCATTTTTGCCACGGGTCTTTCTATCTTGTTCAGCTCTTCTGTAAGTATTTACAAACCTTCTCATTTTAAATGAAATTCACATGCTTAGCACATAAAAAAAAAAGGCGTTCTTTAGGAGTGTACCTGATCTACACATCTTTTCCGAGAGAATAGTTACTTATGGTTTATGGGCTAACGAGTCACACTTTGGCCAAGTAATATACTTCTAAAGAAAGAGCTTGCAACCAGCAGCTTTCTATTCTATTTCTATGTGTGATTGTCTTCTTCATGGTAGATTTGATCCTGGGAAAGTGTGGCAGATACAATAACAAACATAAAAAAATGGGTTCCATACTTTTTAACATTTCGAAATTTCGTTTACAATAACGTTTCAACTATCCCAAACATCATAAAGCGACGTTTGTCGTCTTGTATAACACTTAGGTTAATAAAATTCTCGTACCATGGATCTAAAAATCGTACACCGAAAGAAAAGGTGATGGGGGGAAATATCTCCTTCAGTACAGTTTTAAATGTAAAAGACAAAGTGCTTAATACAACCAACACTAAACCAGAAATGACCATAAATAAGTGGTATTGCTCAGTTGCATTAATAACAGTCGTGGTATTGCACACACTAACGCATTATAGGTAGCAAAAAAAAAGAAAGATTTTGATATCAATTTTGAATAATTAGTGCATGAGTACATGTTTGTATGTCCACTCGTATAATTATCTTAATGTTGTGGTAGAAAGAACAAAGAAATAGACAACAAATGTTTGTAGTTGAATGGATTAGTAGATCCTTGCCACCGATGGATCTAATAACATTTCTTCTCAAGGGCTAGTATCAATTCAAATTCCAAAAGGAAAATTTTAGTAATCAAGTTAACAACCAATGTGACATGGTGTCTTACTATCAAATCATTCTGATTGGATGCAGTCTGTAAAAATCTCTTAATATATTTCATCAGCCAAAATCACTGAGTATTTACCTTTGCGTTTTGAAGCTTAGAGCATCTCCAATGTATTCCTCCATTTTTGTCTCCAAAATGGGGGAACTGCAAAATGGAGTTGGATTTCTCTCCAATGTATTCCTCCATTTTCAACTCCAAAAAGAATATTCTGAGTATATTCTTTCTTTTTATTTTATTGTTAATTACTAATTAATAATGCACTCTATTTATAAAAATTACAAATGAATCCATTTATTTTTTTTTCCTCTTAAAACTTTCATAAATTATAATATTATTCTAAATTCAACCACTATAATATAAAAATAACATTACACACCATTTAAAATAAGAAAACAAAGTATATTTTAATTTAAATATCACCATTTTAATTTAAATATCACCAAGTGGCATAAAAAAATCTAAAATGAAAAGAAAAATCGATGATGGAACATCAGCTGTTATCAACTCAGCAAAATCCGCCTCAATCTGGTTCATGTGGACAATATTTTAATGATCTTGGTGGATCTGGAAGCAGTTTACCAGATTTTTATTAATCAATTGTTGTAATAAATTTATTTTATGTTATTTGTAATTTCAGTACTTCTTATGTATTTTTAATTTTATATTATTTCTAGTTTCAGTTAATTTTCTTATATTTTTTATTTTCTGTTCTCAAATTTTAAATCTATCTATCTTTAATTTTAAATTAAATATATATATAATATAAATGATTAAATTATAATTTAAAAATATAGTTTTAAGAATTAATGAAAAATAAAGGATTATGTTGTAAATAAAAAAGTTCACCTGCAAAATGGAGTTGAAAATGGGGTTACTCCATATTTGGAGGAAAAAATGGCATTCCTCCATTTTGCAGGTGAAAATGGGGTAGGGTTGGAGAAGAATTTCCTCCAAAATGGCATTTAGAGAAAGAAATGGGGTAGGGTTGGAAATACCCTTACTGTTGAAGCCTTGAAGTTTAGTGTAATTTAATTCTACTTTTATTCAAAAAGTATAAAGTCATAAAGATAGACAAAATTTGCATTATGTTTGAAAAGGCTTTATTTTATCTCTTTGGATTTTTATAATATACGTTTAACCTAGACGTACTCAGAGAAGTTTATCCTATATCTATATACTGTATCTATACATGTCTCATAATTTAATTATATGTATTTAAGAAAAAACATACAATTTAACGAATAAACCGTACAGAAAGACGCACACCCAATAATTATTGATTCAGTAGCTAATATTGTCACAGGCATAGAATCATAGACGTAAACTTTTAAAAGGTTTAAAAACATTAAGAAGAAGAAAAAAGCAATGACTAGTACTTCTCTTTGGTTGGTGTCATTATGGACTCTATCTCCTATACCTCCATTGTTGAACCGATTTTGGTTCCAAAAATATGAATAGTAACTACTTTATAATTTTAGCATATAATTTTTTTAATGAAAGTATGTTTTGTAATCGAGAATCCCGATTCTGAATGAAGCTGAAAATGTTCAGCAATACAATATAGTATAACTTATAAATTTTCAGTGAACAAGAATCATCTGATCAATACAATCAATTATGTTTTTATTTTTGTCAACATACAATCAAGTTTATATCCTAGATTAAGCTTTTGTTTATTTATGTAGTTTTAATCATTACTAGGTGATTACCCGTACAATGTGCAGAGTAAATATAAACCATAATTTTTTTATTCGAATATACACATATAATATATATAATTATAACTACAAAAATATAATCTGATATTTATAATTGCAAATATATATATTGATTATGCAATTGTAAATAATGATTAAAGATATATTTATTTTGTAGTACAATTACATAAATGTTAGATAAATATTAGTTTATAATTAATTTAATAATATTTTTTTAACGTCTTTACTAGTAGTTTTTTTTATATGAAATAAAATTTCACATTAAATATACTAAACTAGAATGATATGTTTTATATAAGGAATCCAACATCAGATTAAGATACTTTGCTTTAATAAAAAAAAATTTGAATTACAATATATATGAAAAATTAGATTTTCTTATCATTAAATAGATAATATTATTTTTTTTAACAAAATTAAAAGTAAAAAAATGACATAAAAAATATAATGTTTAGTAACATAAGTGATATTATGTATTAAATTTTTATAAATATGTTGATAAAAAATTGAAAGAGAGAGAATATCTTTACAAATTAAATGTTTGAATATAAATATATAATTGATATAAATTAATCTCTAATCAAACTAATGTTAATGGCATATGATGTAATTAATCTAGTCAGTTGAATTTATTTCCAAAAAATCACTGAAAATTTCTCTGAAATTGACACTTCAACATGGCAAAGTTGTTAATAACACATGACATAAAGATTTTTTTAAATATTTTTCTAAAATAATAATAGAAGAGATTTTATATAATATAAATATTATTTCATATTACAAAAAATATATAAGGTAAAAAAAGTTTTAGTTCAATATAATAAAAATAAGGTAGTCAATACTTTTTTGACCAAAAAAAAAAAAAAAAAAAGGTAGTCAATACTTTGAATTCGAAATTTTTGGTATTACCAAACAAGAACATTTGACAATCAGTCAATCACAAACATAAAGATAGACGATTCTCTTGGCTACGATAGCCATGATTTATCATTGTGAAATAAATACAAATCAGGAATAAAATCAACAAAAGTTTTGACGTCAATTATGGCTCTTTTGGTATTATTTTAAAATCAATTAGTGACGCTAACTCTAGTTAAGACCAGACAACGATAAAATATTGACTTTCCTAAAAAAAGTTACATGTCAAGATTATATATACACATTAGATTGTTCTGAAAAGCACATTAAGAGCAAATCAATAATCTATGGCTTTGTACTGGCTATTATGTCCCTCCATTTATCTTTTTTCTTATAATATTGCTCAAACAGTTCAGGTAAAAGAAAAAAAAAATCGATAATGAATTCGAATTCTTATATACAATAGATGTATGTATGTTGACTCATATATCTAATGTTTATGGCAGGAAGAAGTGGAATACGAATGTGTTGATATCTATAAGCAACCTTCCTTTCAACATCCATTGATGAAGGATCACCAGATCCAGGTATGGGATTCATGGTCATTAAAAATTTAATTTTATATTTATAAGCAATTAATGTTTACATAACCATTGAAATATTTTATATCGAGATTCTCTCTTAAGTATTTGTTTGTCTATCAATCCCAGATGAGACCAAGTGTCGAGTTTCAAGCCATGTTATTGAAGGAGTACCCGGAAATATTAAATTTGTCCACTAATTATAAATCTAAAGAACGTTGTCCTGAAGGAAAAGTGCCAATTCACAGACCGCAAATTAACTATACTAATAACTTTATGATCCATCCAGAGAAAGCGATTGCAGAAACCAATCTACATGTAAGTTATATAACACGACCTTTTTTTAACCATGGTTTGATATTTATTTTAATGTTTCTTTTCTGTAAAGTAATAAAATGGTAATTCGTTTTGGTTAGTATGCAATAATTAAACAATTTGAGAATGCGACCAAAAAATGGCGTGGAGTTGGAGCGCAAGCGGTTTTTGATATTTACAAGCCACGAGTATTAAGTAATCAATTCACTAAGGCCTGGATTTGGCTTAATCATAGAGAAAATGATGTGATAAGCAGCATCCAATTCGGTTGGGCTGTAAGTATATATTACAAACTCGGTCGATAAACTCATCCATATGTCGATCGAGCTACAAACTTTATTGAACGATTAATCGTTTTCCAGGTGCATACAGGATTATATCCTGATGATCGTCCAAGACTCACAACATATTTTGTAGTAAGTGATATTTACTTTTTAACATTTAATTCAATTCTCAAGCCTCATGACTTGTATGTATTTATGATTTTGATGTGTTCATAATCAAATATATACGTAAATAATTTATCATATGTTACAGTCAGATAGACAGAAAAACGGATGTTACAACACGTTATGTCGAGGAGGTTTTGTCCAAGTCCATAAGACAATCTACCCCGGAATGGTTTATGATAAAGTTAGTGTTTTAGGAAAAAGACAATACAGTGTTCATCTTCTCGTTGGTCAGGTAAAAGTAATGTTATAACATGATTTATCTCTTCAAGTCTAAATAGTTAGCATGTTATATATAAAATATCTATTATTCATATACAGGACTCGAGAACGAAAAACTGGTTGTTGATGACGAGAACCACCTTGATAGGCTATTGGCCGCATCAAATTTATTCAGCGCAAGGACCAACACAAGCTTACTTTGGCGGATATGCAGGCGGGCTAACCGGAGATATCAGCCCGGCCATGGGGGCAGGGAATTTTGTGATTCAAGCGGGATTTAGGAAAAATTACTCATGTTTCATGAAACAGCTTAAGTTATTTTATGGTAATAAACTCGAGGATATTGATTCGAATGCGTTCGGGGAATACGTGGATAGTCCAAATTGTTATGATGTATGGTTTCGTAAGTTTGAAGTTGGTAATGGAGAGCTCCTCACGTTCGGTGGACCTGGTGGAGCGTGTGGTTTTCCATAAGTATAGTTTAGTTTCATCGTTGTTGTTGTTGTTAATTGTTTCATGACAATAAATCAATAATAATTTGGTACTTATTGCGTAATTTTAAATATGATTTTTCACACACACACACACACATAGTTTAATATTAACTTTATTCAGTTAGCCTTCTTGAGAAATTGAAATTGCTGTGTCATTTGCTGTTACAACTTTTACATACCATACTTATCATAAGCTTTTTCAATTTAAATAAAAAGGTTTTTTATATCACTCAAAGCTTTGTAAATGTGAACATAAATTACTCTGTTAAACATAAATTACTCTATTAAACATAAATTTCAATCTATTTCTTATAAGATTAGAAGTAATCTATGTAGTAAATTTTCAATAAATCCTAAATAAAGTAGCGATAAGGAAAATGAAGGAAACAAATTCCTTCAGAAATCAAAAGAGATTAAGAGAAGCAAGTGAAAAGCTATTAACTTTAGAATAGGGAGGTTGAAGATTTACTGATTTAGTGTTTGACATTTTCTTGAATATTGGGGTGTTATTGGGAGGTTGATTTATGAAAATTTTTAGAATTTTAAGATTCTATAATTATTGATTTGTGAATTTTTAGATTTTTAATAAATTTCACTATTATTGATTTACATATTATAAAAGTATATTGTTATTAGTTTGGTAATTTTTATAATCTACTCAAAATCCATTGTATTCAAAAAATTTGCAATTCAATGATTTTATAATCTAGTGTTATTGGAATACTATTCTTTGCAATTTAATTCATAAATAGTGATTCTCAAAATATTATATCCTTTAGATCTTCAAAATCTATCATATTAAAATGATTTTGTGGATTGTTTAAATCCACAAAACTCTCTCCAAATTTTACAAATCCAACAAAACTCTAAATTTTTTGACAAATCTCATGACCTTTAAAATCAACTAAAATTTTCATAAATCCAACTCCCAATAAACCCCTAAGATTTGAATTGTCAGAAGAACCTCATTTATGGTGATAATTAATGTTAACGATTTGATAGTTATGGTTCTCTATATTTGAAAGAGAATTTTCTTGTAAATTCTTAGTATAAAACATAATTCGTCTAAAACAATGAAAGGTAGTTTGCTATACTCTTGAATTAGAAAAATCACCAAAACTAACACAATAATACATTTTCGAATCTGTAAGCACATTTTCTTACTAAATAGGCTTACATGGGATCGACATGGTGCAGGTTTAGGATGGATCTTCGCAGATCACAGAGGAACATATCTAGACTATGACCAATCATCAGAAGTTCTCGTTCCATCTCTATTCCTGGCTGAGACTCTAGCTATTCGTAATGCTCTAATCCACGCGAAGGAGGAACTAAAGGATTCACAAACCTATGCGTTAAAACAGACGCTCAGGAACTTACTCGAGTTATCAACTCACGTGAACAAATCAAAGAGCTTTACAGACCTCTCTCGGATATCAAAATTCTCGTTTACTTCTATGATCAGTTTTATTTACATTCCACGATCAACGGCTGATACGCTTGCAAAGAAGTCCCTCCGAGACTTCATGCTTTCTACTTCTGTACTTTGTAACTCTGTTTCTAGTTCAATGAAAATGTTGTTCAAATCAAAAGGGATCGTTATAGTTAAAATTTCCTTCCTATCATCTGTAGCATTAGAAACATATTTTCTCTATTTTTGTAACCAATGTTAACAAGTAAAAGTAAGCAAAGATGACCGTTTAAAAAAAAAAAAAGAAAATGGCTTTTCCCTTGGTGATGCTTCACTCTTTATGTCTAACGAACCTCCATGGTATTGCTAAACCGATTTTTGTACGTTCATTATCACTTTTACGAGATCAAACTGAATATTTTATGTTATTTAAAATTTTAATTACTCATACGTAGGTATTTCTTCTACAGCAGAAACAAGAATCCAAATTTGAATGCGTCGACAAATACAAACAACCAGCCCTTCTAACATCCTTCAATAAAAAATCATTGCATCTTGCAGGTATCATGAGTTTAACTGTTGATTAGCTAATACACCAATCAATACATATAGCTTTATTAGCTAACTAACTTGATAGAATAAACATAATACCTTTTTCCGTATATACCACGGAGTAAAGAGCTCCGAGCAAGGTTCTTTGGAAACGACGATGATCTATCTAATAATAATAAATCAAAAAATGATTTGAAAGGAAGAGGATGTGCAAAAGCATAAATACCGATTCAAAAACCAAAGACCAACGTAACCACTAATTTTATCAATCCCCGACATTTTACTAAAGTGTGTAATATATATAATCACTTTCGGGTGTTTCTTTATCTTATTTAATTTCTTGTTTATCGTCATTAAAAAAAATAATAATTTGATTCTGTTTTATTATCTAAAACTAAAATTGTTCGCATTTAACATACTAAAAAAGCGACAGAACTAAAAATTAACTCAGTATTAGAGTATATGGCCAATTTAATGTATTGGTTTAATCATGGTTAAGTTTTTTTTGCTTACCATATATATATCAGACTGTAACAACATTTTGGAATTAATGAAAAAGTGAACTTTCCCTTAATATAGTATCAGAGCATCTCTAACGACAGCAAAATAGAGATTCTGCGTTTTTCTGCCACTTTTGTTCATCTTCGAGCTTCATCTTTCTCATTAAATCTGCTTTACGAGCTTCAATTCTGCTATTCAATTTCTCAGCTGTGTATCGATTTCTCCTCAGGTTTCTTCTCGCTGTGTTTGATTTTCTTTTGCTTCTTTCTTTGGTGATTCTTTTTCTGATTTTCATCTTTTTTTTGACCTAAAATCCATGTTCATCACCTTGATTCTCTTCTTCGTACCTCGAATAATATTCGCCGATTTCAATTTCTACATTGGAAATGGGATCAATTCCTAATTTTACCGCAGCGACATCAAATGTCTCTTCTTTAGATCAATACGAGAATCCATACTTTTTTCACTTCGGATCATGCCGGACTTGTATTGGTTTCCGATGGATTGACCTCGGGTTCTTATTTCCACTCTTGGCGTTGTTCAGTTCGGATGGCTTTGGATGGCTTTAAATGTTCGGAACAAGCTCGGCTTCATGGACAGTAAAATTCCTAAACCTTTTGTTAATAATTGTGATGCTGGATCTTGGTCAAGATACAATGATATGATAGCTACTTGGTTGATGAACTATATGTCTAAAAAGATAAGCCAAAATCTTTATGTCTACTGCTGAGGCAATATGGAAGAATTTGTTGTCTAGGTTTAAGCAGAATGATGCGTCTAGGGTTACGAGATAGAGCAGAGATTAAACTTGATTTATCGTCATTAAGAAAAAATAATTTGATTCTGTTTTATTATCTAAAACTAAAATTGTTCGCATTTAACATACTAAAAAAGCGACAGAACTAATACTCCATCCGTTTCACAAAGAGTGTCGTTCTAACATTCTTCACACAAATTAAAAAATAAGATAAAAGGTCTTTTATACCCTTATTAATTTGCAGAAAATGACTCTTGAAATTATATTTATAATTAATTTTCTAAATTTATTGAGGTTAAAAATGATATTTTATGTTAAAAATTACATTGAAATTCTAAAACGACAGTTTTTTGGAAACAAAAAAAAGTGTCAGAACGACACTCTTTGTGAAACGGAGGGAGTAATGTTTAGCAAAAGAAAAAAAAAAACCTAACTCGACATTTGTTTGTTAACACATGTATAATTATCCAGTAAATCATAACAAAAATAGTAGTACAGTATTTCGTTTGTCGTTCAAATAAATAGTATTCTGTATGGTGGTTTTTAGTTTTGCTTATATAAAGAGTATTTAGTTATTTAGAAAAATATAGTATATAATAATAAAACAATGTAATTTTTGTGAAAGCAGCTAATTAAGAGGGCTATAAAGAACAATATATTGTACATGCCTTAATCTCGGAGAAGATCACAACCACAAAACCATAAAAATCCCAAAATTTTGTCCATAAATATATCATACAAACCTTTTTGTTTCATATAATCATTGCCTATATCGTGAACTTAACGTACATACATATCATCACAAAAATTCGAGTTCATCATTATCTTAAGTATTTAAAATAAAATAAAATAAAATAAAAAGTATTTTAAATAAAAGTTTTATTATCACAAAATAATGAAAATATACAGATATATGATAACACAATACAATCCATTGTTTATATCTGCGTTAGTTTAGATACCCTCATCGGTTTCTGGGTTTGGAATTTACTATAAGTACTCGACTGAAAAGATGAAACACAATCTCAAGGTAAGCTCAGGGTAAGATCCGTATTCATGTCTATGTTGGGATCCACATTTGGATTAGGGTCAACATTCACATCGATGTTAGGGTCTGCGTTAGGGTCTTTGTTCAAGTCCAGGTCTAGGTTAGGGTCTTTGTTCAAGCCCAGACCTACGCCTTTAGAATGGCCTTGTGTGTTCAACAAACCAGTTTGTCTTTGAGACGGAGCTATGTCTGACATCTGCAAAGGAAACAAATCAAGAGTTCTTTCGTTTACTATTACCCGAAAGTTTTGGACTTCTGTCTCATACAATAGTGTGTGATGTATTTTAAGGTTCAAAAAACAAATTGTATATACAGTATGTTGTGTTTTATGGTTTACCTTTAAGGTATCAATGCAGGATTCTGTTTTCCTTTCACCGGAGCTAGGTTCAGCGTTCAAATCTATGTCATCAGGATATGCGTTCAGGTCAATGTTCAAGGCCACACGTACGGGTTTAGATAAACTTTGTGTGTTCAACAAATTTAGTTGGTCTTTAGATGATGTTGGTTCTTCCATCTGCAAAAAAGAAACAAACCAAGAGTAATTTTGATTTCTTTAGTCTACCAAGTTCTGGTTTTGTCTTTTAAAATATAAATAGTGTTTTACATTTCCCTTCTTTTTCTTGGAGCTGGTTTCTTCTCCTTTTCGCATGCCATTTCCATCTTCAGTGCAGTCATAGCAAGACCATTCAAGGGGGCGCTTCTTGATTTTCA